GCTAATATTGTCGCAGACGACGGATATATTGGACGAACTACTGAGCAACATCGTCTATGGCACCGCGCTATCATGTCACCGGTCCGAGAAGCTGCTCCGCATGCAGTCGGCTGCCACCCAGGCCGAATCAATCGCCCTCGCCAACCTCGAGCCGCAGTCGCAGAAGCAAAACACCAACGGCGCCACAACAATTCCCATCGCAGAGACCCCAGCAGCGAAATATGAGAATGGGCGCGTGTTTCTCAAGGGGAATCCGCTCAAGACGACGCCTGAAATAATATGTCCGCATTGCAAGCTGCCGCGCCTCATGTACCCCATCATGGGCAAGGGCATGCAGAACCCTGATTTGACCAAGGAGTACTGTATGCTCTATCCCTGGGTACAGAGATCGGGTCACGATGTCTACGGCAACCCGTTTCCTACCGACATGGCCAAGAGCAAGAAGGAGCGCGAGCTTATTAAGCAACAGCAAAAGAATGCTGAGAAAGAGAGCGTCGGCACACCCGGATCGCAAGACACAGATATGGCCGGTGGCGACACCAAGGAAATCAAGCTCAACACGGGCGGCAAGCCAGCTTCGTATATTCCATGGCACACCTGTCCAAACTGCAAGCGCAGTTTGCTCATCACGCGATTCGCACAACATTTGGAAAAGTGCTTGGGTATAAGTGGGCGACAGAGTTCACGAAATGCAATGGCAAAGCTTGTAGGACAAAATGGCTCAGGTTCGGGTGTTGGCAATACGCCACTCGGAAGCCGAATGGGCACACCCGCACCCGGTTCTCAGGACGTCCCAGCTCCAAAAACCAGCAGCAAATCTAAAGGCATCTCGCCTACCAAGAAACTCGCTGCCGGCGACGATGCAGACGCAGACGAACTTGGCCTAGACAATGATACACCCGAGCGTCGCAAGATCAAGAAGAAGAGCTCATACATCAAGAAGGCCGACCGAGATAGATCTACAAACGGTAGCGGCGGTACCCTCAAAGTCAAGCTCAAGACGGGTAGCAGACCAGATCTCGACCGAAAGCACAGCGAAAACAGCGAGAGGGGCGAGGGTAAGAGAGATCGCGACGCAGACGACGGCGGTGATTCGCCCAAGAAGAAGAAGATCAAACTCAGCCTGGGCGGCGGGGGCAAAGACAGGAATAGGATGAGTGCTAGCGTGGAGCCGGCGAATGCTGCGTCGCCCGAGTAGCATCAGACGCCCAAGCATGCAAGCAGATACAGTGCATGTATCTCCGGCCATGCGAGAGTGTTGTGTAATGAAGGTGTAACATTGTACTATCAAATGGGGTGGGGCTAAAGCATCTCAGCGGCGTTTTCCGGGTTTCTTTTTTTATTCGTCTTCTCTGGGGAAGAAATGGACTTAGGCTATACCAAGGCACGGGAGAAGCGTCGAGAGAATCATCGACCTATGGGCGTTTTTTTCTATGTCAATTTTTCTTCTAGTTTTATTTTCAGTTGCTAAATGTTATGAGAGCTCTTCTGAGTCGAGTGGATGCCATGTATCCATTTTTCATCTTTTTTTTTGTCAGATTCTTGTAGTAGTCTGCTGGTGAGTAATTCTGTTTTTATCTTGTTTGCGTGATTTACTTCGCGCTGAATCCAATGTGAATATATGGCTTTGTATGACTTGAATTGTTTGATTTGACTATATTGATGGACATGTACGATGGAAGATCGTCTTGCACGTACGTGCTCTATCATGTAGGCATTGCAATTCATTGATGTGCCTTTCTCTACCTAGATATTAAACGATATGCTTTCCAGTTACCACACGTGAACGATACGGTCGTTGAGCCTCATGTAATGGCAACTTCGAATCTCTCACCCTCTAAACCCAAAAATAACTCCCAGATACGGAGACCATCTCAGTATTAGAATCAACCTCTTTGAAAGTCTCGAGACGCAGAGAGGAGTTTTCAGGTTTCAGCACTGAAGAAACTTTCTTAACATCTCCTTGACTGACTATTGGACCAATTTCTGAGCCAAAAGTACTCTATGTAGTCATTTCAGATAGCCCGTACCAGCTAACACAGATCATCAAGTAATGGCAATTTCGACACAAGTATCGCAGAGGAAATTTTTAGCTCCGGGAAACGCAACCAGTTAATGGAAGCATATGAACTTGCGTCCATCACGGGGATGGATATCAATCTGAGATGGAGTTCAATACCAATTTGTCCAATGTTAGGAGGCCAAGCTGCAGGGAGAAAAAAAGAGAAAAGCAAGTAAAACAACATGCGCATTCCAAACACCGATATCACAGATTGTAAGCGTGTTTTTTGAATTGCCATGATCTTCCTCACCGATAACAACCCTGTGGTTTCAATAGAACATCATGCTACTTTCTTTATTTTCCGAAAAAAGGAATCGTATACTCACCGCTCTAAGCCACATGGGCAAAGCACAGCTTCAGGACGTTTTAACCTTCTGAGGTTGTTCTCGCAGCTGGAGCAGCGGAACGGTCGGATATTTTACTGACAGGGCTGCCCTGCCTCAAGCTGAAGGATGACAAGCACTCACACCTCGGTATTCGAACTCGGGCATTGGTCTTCTTGCAGGATGTTACACATGGCGGATACTCGGAAAAGTATGCCTGCCAATAAACGATACTTGGTCGGGGGGGTTGCATATTGTTGGAAATGGCATTTCGCAAATTCTACATGGGATTGTCCACATTAGGCATGTGTATGCGTAGGATGTTGGATGTTTACGCAAGTTCCAATACGCATGAAGATCTCTCGGTGCCATTGAGTGGGGGGAGTAGCAGTAGCCATGGCGTGAGCGGGTTAGTGTGTGAGACGGTCCCTTCTACTTTAATAATTTACGACAGATGACGCATATGTTGGTGTTCAAGATGCAATAACAGATTACAACGGTGCTATGAAAAGCGGATAATATAACCATGTCTTATTGAGACAGCATGTGTGCCGGCCACATGGACGGACAAAAAGGGGAACCAGACAAAGTCTCAGACGTCTGGGATTGAGATGCAGGCTTGTAATACTCAGACACCAATAATTCATGAAAATCGAGCACGATTTCTAGAACTCAAGGATTTACAGATTGACCTGGAGGTGTGCGACCACATGATCGAATGCCTTCGAGAGGACTGGAGTCCATGTACTTAGCATGACCATATAATGGTTCTGTGGCGGCAATCGTGGAACTATGTAGGGTAGGTTGAGATCGGAAAGACGATCTGGGCATCTATCAATCTAGCGGATACAAAGTCTCAAACCCTGTCAATCTACGATCCAGTGTGATAGCTGTTCGAGGCGTCCAGCGATGACTTGACCCTATTCGTTAGCCCAGACGTCGGTTGCGATCCTTCTCTCCGCGGTATCTTCTCGAAAACGCGGATGCGACCCGCCATCAAGGTTCAGCCGTGTCACAGGGCTTGCCTTGGTTGCGGAATCTTGCGAGCTGAATATTGGATGACGAATGTCAGGCGGACCCGCTCATGTCGCAGTGCAATTACAAGTCACGATCAAAGGAGTGTGAAGACGACAGTAGCCGACGACAGAGTCTAGACTGGTGTTCTGAGCAAAGTTTACCAGAGGTCGCAGCAAACGAGATGGGATCATCGCGCATTTCCTGCAGATGGACTAGCGCGAACCATCGTCACTGCTTCGCGAGAGTCTCTTTTGCTTTCTTCCCCCTTTTATCTCACACATCTTGGCCAAAGTCAAAGCATGCCGCTCGCAACACGCCGTCGCACGTCATGCCAGCACCACAAACAATAAACTATCCGTATTTCACGCTACCTCGGCACCCGCCTGCAAAGTGATGGAAAAAAGGATAGAAAAAGAAATACCCTTGTCAACATCAACACCAAGCCACGATTCGGCAGCAGGTCAAAATCGCACCACACAGCTGGCGTTTAGTCATGTCCTTCTGAATCAACACCGTGGTTCCTTGTTCATGCCCGTCTTTTTTTTTACTAATCAATACTATTTACGTAGTCAGTCAGCGGTCACCTCCCTTGTTGACGCTTGTCAGCCCATTTGGCCACAGATTATCTCTCGTAAGAAGGACCTAGTAAAAAAGAAGGGATACGTTGGTGCGGCTGTCGCACACGATGTAAGGGTGTGAACAGAAATGCAGGATGAGGGGGGCTAAGACGTTGGCCCGTGCAATCAGCGCCTGCGTTCCAAGTGTCTTTGCTTTTTTGCCTTTACTCTATTGCCCGACTCGTTGCTAACGACAAGTCTTAATCATGATGTCTGGTCAATACTTCTGGTCAATGGTGGGGGGGGGAGGGACGAAAAGCAAGCCAGCTTACTTTTTTACTCTCACTCCTGCTCCCCCACTACCAGCATCACTTTCCCCCCCCTCTCTTTTTCTCTCTCTCTCTCTTCCCAATTTTCGTTATCGTTTTTGCCTCCCCCTCAATTATTTGAAGAGTCTCTTTTCCTCTGCTTTTTCTGTCTCGGCATAGAGCCATCATTGCTTTCTGGGGTAGGCAAGTTACTTTTTCATCCTATCGCTTCGTTAACGTCATTACCGTCACTGGATCGTGGCTGCTTTGTGGGTCTCGTCACGAGGGCATACATAACGATTAGCAGCTCGCTAATCTGGACACCCTCTCCTGGTTCGAGCTACTAATATTCGGATCGTATCCCGGCTTTTAATCGTACACCTGGTTCCGCCTTGTTCCCGTGGAGTTGTGATGCCGTTCCGGTAATGTTGCGAGGGGTTTGAAAGATTGGCTTCGAACGAATTGGAGAGCCATTGTGCAGCGCACCAGAGGGATCTAATCAGCCATCGTGTGTTGTCGTCGATTGCAGAACCGTCGACCATTACAAAGGGAAGAGCGCCTTACAGAACGCTACACCACTCTTTACCACAGGACAACGAGATCTTTGGACTGAAGGCCTCTCATAGAAGGCATCCAGCCTGGTTCTCTCACCTACTATATTGATTACCAGACACTATCTTGTCTTTAAGTATCAAGACATACGAGTTCTCGAAATCAACCCACCGACCTGAACATGTGTTACATCGTCTATACCATACACGTGTGTAACCACTGGATCCCCCAACCGCAGCCCAACAATGGGCCTATACTGCGAATCTGCGACGAAGCCGAAAAACTACGGTTGGGCCACCCATGCCCCGAGACTCAGCGGGAGCATAAAGTCAACAACCGAAGTCAGGGGATGTGTACAGGGTGTATGTGGAAAAAGGTTAGCAAGTAAGAGGAGCCTAAAAAAAGCGTGCCTGCATAGAGTTCAAGAGTCCATTTACGTGGTGGTTGTGGGAAAGACGAGATATGCGGGGACTGGAGGGTTTGACCTGGAAGCGCGACCAGGGGCCCAGCAACGGGGGCGGCGGATAGGACGGAAGGGATGGACGGCGGAGGGCACGCACGTACTACGCGGGGGACTGAAACCTCAAAGGGAGACATTCTCGGGAAGACTTGGGTGAAAATCTACTTTACGGCTTTTTCAAGACAAGGCGCCAGGCACCAACGCTCAAAAAAAACATTAGTCGACCGACAAAAGGCCGTGTATGGTCGACACAAGGCCTCTTCCCCCTACAAGAGGGAACCTGGAAAGTGAGCAAACACGTGCACCGGGCTTCTCCGATCAGCCATGGATGCGATGCCCACATTTCCTGAGAGACACAACCAAAAGGCCCGAGTTGTGGTTTTCGGTCCGATGGGCAACGAAACATGAAATGTCGTTTTTTTCTCTTCCTTTCTCCCGTTTATCCTAACCAGGCTAGGAACGTTTGGCGATTCGTCTCGGTGTTTTTTTTTGAGTGATTGGGGGGCGGGTTTCTTTTCCGGAGGGGGGAGGGGGAAGAAGTTCTGTTCAGCCAGAAAAGGGATAGCCACAAGGCACCATACGCACCATACGCGCGTGTTATATCCCCCCCAACTGTATTATTTTGTTTCCTCCACATGACTTGTACTCTTTTTTTTTTTCTTTATGATTTCAATAGTACAATATCTCCACTCTCCGTGTGTGTCTCCTTCTGGAAGAAAAAAAAAACTCGGATCGACATGCGGTCCGTGGTATGTAATTAGTCACAACCATTACTTACACCGAGCATTATGGTATTGTAATTTGTCTTGTGTTATGTGCTTGCCTCATGCGATCAAAAGTCAGGGTATCGTGATATGTTTAATGCGTTTCAATGTACGCGTTGTATTGCCAAGGATGAGCAAGATGCTCGACACAATACGATCGACTTTGCGACTCATGTTGGAAGGGCATCGAGTCGGACCCTCCCTTCGCCCTCCCCCCTCCCCACTTTTGTTTGATCATCGAGCCGAACGCTTGAAAAGTAGAGACTGGCCTTGCAACAGGTGCGTCAAGCGTTTGAGAAGCCCTGGACAGGACAGACGCAACGTATACTATGTGCGTGCAATAGCCGGCAGATACGAGGTTGGTCGTGACGCTCTAGTATGCAATTGGGACAAAGCCGGCCTTGGGTTCAAGCGTCATCCGCAATGCACATGCATATTATGTACCTGTGTAAGTACAGGGTATGGGGGGGGAAGTTGTGGGAACTTGGGTGGGGTGGGGTTTGGTAAAACCGGACCATACAAAACGGATCCCAAGGTGCCAAGGTTACGTACGTAAAGGGACCTTGTTGACTTTCCCGTTGTGGTATATTAAAAACGATTACTCAAAGATAAGCAAAACGGCAAAGAGGGTGCTGGAAAGAGATAGAAATACAGGTATTGAGAGAAAGTAAGGCTTTAAGGTTTCGGGGATCAAGGCATGGCACATGTCAGCACTAAACATGGGAGAGAGACGAGTTTGCTTTAATCTCATCTCAACGGTCTGCTACCGCTAAAGGGGAAGGGGGGAAGGAGATACGTAGATACCGCGCGGCACGAACGGATAGCTAGCGCAGTATGCCTCGAGTCGTTAGGTTGGCGAGGAACCCTTACTACTCCCACTTGTTCTACCAGGTTCCGTCGTCACCTGTCAGTCGGACTAGGGCTTACCCCGGAATTCTTTCCACATTTTTTTCTTTCCAAGTACACAGCCATTGACTAGCCCGGTATGTACAGGCTTTGAATGTCACTGCCTTTTGTCACAAAGCTTAGTTTGGTCGCTACGGGGCTAGGGACGTGAACGAAGTGCAACATGTTTAAATGGGTTCCAGAATATAAGGTTTCGATTCAGCCTTGAAGCGGACTTGTCCTCATTTTCGAAGGATTCGAGGCCCCCATTGGTTCATGCCCGCCATATGTGATTGAATTGATTGCGGCGGTTGGTGGATTCTAAAGATTGACTTTGCTGGGTCATGTAGCGGCTTTGGGCCACGCGCCAACATGGATCAGGGCCGTTATTTCTGTTGTTGCACATTGTAAAACTTCTGGAAATATATTGTGCATTCCCATGTAGAAACAAAATGGACACGTCAGCAGGCTTTGAGCAGACAAAGACATATCCCGCGATGGTGTACACATTGGAGCGCATCATGACGTTATTGTCCCAGAGGCTTTGCCATCGGATCGGGAACCAAGCGGGTATACGCCGACATAGTACCTTTGCACTACGCGTAACAACAAGGTGGTAGCGAAAGTGCCGGATCAGCCACCGAAGCTGGGCGCTTGGGATTCTGCTTTCTTTTCTTGGCCCAGTCAGCCTAGAGGCCGCATGGTTGCTAATGCAACCCATTTTCGACCCCGGGCAATGTCACCGGGAGGAGCGTATGGTCCCACCTATGGTCGCAGGGTTGCTCCGAGATCTTGCCGGCCCTGGCTGTGGCTGCGCCCACAACAGCCCCCCAAGTCATCAGCTTCAGTGCACAGCCAGGTTGCACATGATGCAGGACGGGCGTGGTGTGGGAGCGAGAGGGGCGGGTGGACCATGGGCAGTGGGCGATGATGGCGATAATGATAGAATTTGCTCTTGTCTACCACGGCATCGCGTACGAAGCGAGAAAGCGGGGACTCTCACTGCATGATGCGCCTTCCCGTTTATTCGAGTGTATGCGTGTGGCAAGTCATTGCCCGGTTGCTTGGACAATGACGGACGCAGGGTGGGACGATAAGTGGGCAGAGGAAATGCTTGTCCCTTGCTGGGCCAGCAGCGAATGCAGCAAAATGTGGACCAGCAAACGAGTCGTCTCCCTCTTGCCTCTCCATTGCATCGTCATGCGCTACCTGTCAGACAATGGCGCTTTCCAACCACTTGCATGTCTCGCCCACGCGGGGTCTGTCGATCGCCCGCATTAGCCGCCTGCATTCTCTCCCGGAAAGTGTTGCAGAGGGGGAGGACATACGTAAGTATGTACTTAGTACATGCTTAGATGCTCGCGTGTAGGCAGTAGTACTAGTAGAGTAAGCAGCCAGAGGGAACAGAGTTACCGGGTCCTGGGGGGTACCAGGCGAGACCGTTGTTAATGAATTTAGATCTGCATGGGATGACTGTTGCTCCCGCACCGCTTATAGTAATATGGCCTAGATTGGGTGTCGAGCTTGCACTGACGTATGGCTGCAAGCAGTCAAGCGTGGTATGACGGTTCGGTATCCCACACTGTATGAGGGGGCGGATAGCAAGGATAGCGGTAAAGGGGGAGGGGATGTTCACGGAATCCCGCTGAGGAGGAAAAGGAGAATTGGCTAAATAGGCCAGACGCGGTAGACATCTGGGCGCCAGTATGCAGCCGTGTGGGCGCGGTATCGCATCCATCCGCGTTATTGATAGTGGGATTCCGTGTTGGCGGCGGCTTGTTGTGCGGCTATGTTTGCTTCTGGTGGGCTGGGGAAGGTCCAATGGGCTAGCACTGGCACAGCACAACAAGCAGCAGAAGCAAGCTGGGGCCAGACTCGTCAGGCAGCCCTCAGGCTCACAACAGTGACATGGCTGGGATAAAAGCATGGCGCCAGGATGAACGCAGCAAAATCTCCGCACCGGCAGCCGCCTGCTGGGGCGCCGCCAAGACGAGGCTCGCTCCTTCCACAAAGCCCACGCAGCTACTGCCGCTTCAAGAACGACGCCCAATTCAACGCGACGCCTCAACTGCCCTCCCGCCTCAGCCACCCACCCGTGCCGTCTACTTGCTACTATACTGGCCATGCCATTGACGACAGGGGCTACTTGGGCCACGATGCGGGTAGGCCAATGCAGTGTAGATCTGAGAGCCTCGTCATCGATGCATCGGTTCGTCTTCACTGATGGCTGGTTTGGCACGTCAAAAAGAAAGAAAACATCCGGCACGCGCCTTGTTCAGAACTGGACCGGATCATCGCAACAACACAATGCGATTGAGAACTGGTGGTGTGGTTGATCTCTCCATGTTTTCATCTCTGTACGTATGTACTTGTGTGTGGTATACTACATATGACGGAGCCGCTAGGAAAGGACCTTCATCTCCACATGTACCTGTTGACTACTTACGTACATATGTACTATGTACATACGTTCAGGAGGCAGACAAAGTTCGTTTCTTAGTAATCGGTTGATGCAGATGATATTACGACTGGGAGAGCCTTACAAGGCAGCAGGGCGGCAGGGAGAGAGACTTGGACGCGTCATGGGCGTCAACAACAGTCATGGCAAGCATGGCGCATAGCCTCCGACCAACGCGACCACTGTGGCTCTGCGCCCAGTACGCTTGATTGGTGATGCGAGCAATGGCAGCTCGCTCTTGAGCTTCATGGTTGCCTCGTACAGAGTCGAACCGGCAGAGTTTCACACGCATGTCATGTCAATGGCTGATGCCGGGCCTGCTGCCATTGGCCAGGTTTTGCGTTTGCTGCCAGAAAGGTCTATTCCGCCTGCTCGCGATGAAGATGACATAAGACGAACATTTATCCGTATTATGGTCAGAGTATATTTCTGCATCCTGTACATGTATACATACACTACCACCATATCGCCATGTAGAGATAGACGTCGGCATACCGGCACATCGGCACTCTGGATGGGGGTGGCCATTACTATAGCGGCTGAAGCGCTATCACAGTCTTGTGTAGAGTACCGGGCGGTTGGGATCGACATTTGAATGTATAGCGTGTATGCACACAGTACTTAGAGTAGTAGTACATTTGCAAGCTAACCGGCATCTACTCAAGCACCAGCAGCCAAAGCCTAAACTGCAAAGCTTGTGTGGTTGCTTGTCCGAGCATTTTCGGCTTCATCGACGGCAGGCATGAAACAAACTCTAAGCGTGTTTCGCATCCGCCTTACAGCTATAGTGAGTGCTGGTATGAAATGTATCTAGGGACTGT